CAGATTTGAAGCTATTTCTGGAGCGTTGATTCTACTTTTGAAATGGTTCAAAAGATGCCGTACGTACACTAAAATTGTTAACTTTTGGCTCTTCTAACATTTTGACTAGATATCTTGAAATTTGAGTATTTGTCGCAAATACTACTCGACTCAAATTATATTCCTTTAATATTAAAAATGTTCATTCACCAGGAAGTTGACCATGCTGTCGCCCAGCCCCAAGACCCACTAGTATCAAGGTAATGTCCTAATACTACTTCAACTATCTACGAAAACATGCATACTAATTCAATTTGTAGTTTTTTTCACTTCTGTCATGTTCATTCTAACCAACCACCGGAACCAATCCCTCCTCTCGAACCCACAGAAATTGCGGATGACAGTAGTGAAGACGAAGCAGCTCCACCTCCGATACTTCGGCAGAGCCGTTCTAGAATATCGATGCTCGAAGAGGCGTCTGCAAAATTGGCTGCAACTGAACAGAGCAAAGAAAATTCCAGGTTCCTTGAAGTCGATGAGCTAGGTTTTCCGACAGCACCAATTGAGCCAGGACCTATTTCGACCTACTCCTTCCGAAACTTCTTCTCTGCTATCAACTTCCTGCACATCATGCACAAGATTACCCGCGACAAGGCTCATAGGTGTTTACTCCTTGTGCAGTATAAATGTAGCGCTGTGCTACGGAAGGGTCTCAAGATACCAGACCCGCACCTTCGACTATATACTCTCAAGCTGTTTAAGTCACAAGTTCCTTACTGTGGCAGAAAATGGCGGTTAAGCCACATGAGAGTCATAACGGCGATCTATCTGTATTGTCGGCCTGAGCTGCGCGATGATTGGCTTGCTGGCGGTGATGTTGATGCCGAAGTGGAGGAATCGCTACCAATGGAACAAGCACTAAGAGGGTTAACCCACTGGTGGCATGTTAGGCAGTACAAGGATGTCTTGTCTACTGAGAATGGGAAGCCATTGGTAGAGGAAGAGCGAGATTTTTTCACACGAGAACTGGAGAAAATTGGGTGGGGGTGGTTCGGAGAAGAACTAAATAATGGTGTTGATGAGGACGGAGAATTTGTGCCTCATATTGGAGGAGGCCCTGAATTAGAGAAAGCCATACAGATGGAGGCTTGGTAATATGATATAATACTAGCATGGAATCTGTAATATTTCCCGGCAAGGCGTTGGTTGGCCCAACCTAATAATGATTTTACTTGCCGTAATCATCACTATTACGTGGATAGGTTAACATAGTTTTAGTATTTCAAGACGCACACCTAGTAATGTCCTGTCGCTTGATACTTTTACTAATCTCAAGGGGGAATGTTTTTAAGACAGTGATGTCGGCAATCTATAAAATAGTAATGTTATATCACACTTGTCCGCTGACTCCATTCAACTATGATACGAGCCAGGAAAAGAAATTAAAGCCCTCATAACTTCCAAATGTCAAATTAAATTTTTGTCAGGCATCCCTTCTCGCTAGTCACACCTGTTTCACTGCGAAGAAGGACGCCGAACTAACACCCAACTAGTTCAATTCTGGGCTCTCCAGCCAAATTCCGTTGACAATCCATAGCCTAGGGTCTGAGAATAAATGGCTCATTCTTATCGTATGCCATTTGTGCTTCCGGCCCTCTAAGCTCCTTTGGCCAGTCATAGTAAAGCTCGTAGTGTAGGATTGTATGGTCACAGTACGTTAAGAAGAGGCGGTAGCGACGCGAGTATTCAATGCCATGCCACTTTTCTTTCTTCGTGCCACCAAAGGGTAAGTGAGAAGGAAATTTGCCGGACAAGCCAGCCTTGGGACCAATAGGATGCAGTGAAGCATTGCGAATTTCCTGGACATCAACATCATTCATTCCAGTAGATGTATCTTCATAATCATCTGAGGGGGATTCGGGTGGTATTAAGTGTGGCACAACTGGGCTAGCAGCAATTCCAAGTAGCGGGCAAAGTGGACGAAGCCGTTTTCGTTCTTGACTTGCAAGTGGTAGTATACGGTCCATCCTGAACACCTTTCCTTTATTGCGGACCTCAGTAAGACCAAGTATCGCAACTCTTCCTTTCTGAGATGCTGCAACAACAACACCCAGCTCAGGTATTTGAAGAGCCATGTTAAATCGATCCGTAGCTTCGATAAACTGTACAGGATTTGTTACGACTTGTGATAAAGCAGCGCGGAAAATGACCGAAGGGCCAGTAGAAAAGGGACCGGGAAGCATTCGAATATGAGATTCAGAAAAATGGAGAATTTGAAAGCTATGAAAGAGATCGGAAGTTGGGCGTTCATCTCTTAGCAGCCCCGCCTTACCGTTAGCCTTGGTTGCTGTGTTAGACCCTGAGTGGATATCTTCATTCATAGGAGTATCAGAGAGTTCATCCAATTCATCTAGGTTACTCGTTTCGGATGAATCCTCGTCGGATGGGTTATCACCGCTATTGTCATGGTCCATATCAATGTCCGCATCGCTTACCGTAGCATGACTGGTGTTGGTACCGGGAGCAGGTGTGATACCCTCGTCTTCCTCGTCTTCCGCGCCTTCTTCATCTTCTTCGTCTTCGTCCTCATTATAAGTTTCGTCACTATCTTCATCGGACTCATTTAGAACGGGGGTATTGGATATAGCATCAGCAAGGATATTGGAATAGTTATGGGTAGCCAAAGGAGAATTATTATTTTGCAAGGTGCCTTGTGCTCCGACTGTTAGAGGAATGTCGCTGGGTGTTTCTGTTCTCACAGGGGGTGTCTTTATACCAGGAACTGTGTCGTGACGATTAATGCGATCTTCAACACCTCCATCGGAATCATCAGAGTGAGTAAGTGGAAAAAGCTCATCAGGTGGGGGCCCTTGATTTCGACGCTGAGTAAGGGGTGTTGATGACGAAAAGACATTATAATACTGGGTAGCATCGTGGACTTTGCTGGCTAAAAAGCTAAGATCATAGGGGGCGTCCTTGTCTGGGTACTTATGTGGAGGGCCGCCGCAAGCTTCAAGAAGGTCCTTTTTCATGCGAAAGGACCTTGGATCAACAGCCAGAACATTCCATCCCCGCTGTCGGCTACCAATTCTCACAAAGATTAGACAGTTTCGATGCGTACCCTCTTTAATGGTTAACTTACTCGTCAAATAGGTCATCGTACTGTTGGTCATCATCCGCGGAATAAAAGTCCCAGTAGTTAACCGGACGAAAACGTTCCCAGATCCTCCATACAAGGAGTTTGTTATTGATATCCGTGCTGACTAGCCAGTCTCCATGAGGATCTAGGTCACAGTTCAAAAATGAGACGTTAGGTATATTTGCAGAATGCCCCGACAATGAGAGCCGAATATTCTGAGAGCGTCGGCGCTGCCGTGACCAACTTCGCAGCTTCAAGAATTCCGAAATACTGGTAATATGAATCCAGTCATTATTATGGACCTTTGGGTGCTTTGCCCTAGAAGATGAACCTTCCCGAGTCACATGTGAAACTTCCGTATTATCCACCAGGGCAAAAGCAAATATGGTTATTGTTGTGGTATTAGAGCTCACAGCTATCATTCTCGCGAACTTATGGATTGCCAAAGCCCAGGCACTTTGTGTAACCCACTCACTGAAAAAGCATTCTACTCCATTGCCTACCTGGACTGGGTCAGTATCTTCAGCCCTGCGATTTTCAATACACCAGAAGATGCGTTCAACCCTATAGGCGGCCACGTTCCCTGAATCCGTTGCCAGAAGTAAGATCTCATCAGAGCCAAGGTCACCAACAGTGATTTGATTGATGGCATGAGGATTATTGGGCGCAATATAACCCGGAGCATCAGGTCGTGCCATTTTGGGGGTTAGGATAAGAGCCGGCCGTGAACCGATCATCTGTCCGCAACTTGGCTGGAACACGTATATTCGACTGGAGTAAGCAACAAAATAAAGGTTCTGCCTCTGGGATAGAGCAGTCTAGAAGAAGCGTAGCATAGTTAATTTTACATGCGTCGAATGGTAAAGGAGGCATCAGAACGTACCAGATTATTCCGCCAAGTTGCAATAGGAGGCGATGGAGCGTTCCGTCTGATGTAGAAACTCAGTCAGCCGTCGAGTAGTGGATCTTTTGGAGGAGCATTAGAACGGAGTAACATACGGAAACTGCAAGCTTGAGTCAGCGACATTGCTATACAACATATAAGGGGGGATTTCTTTTAAAACATACACGCGTATCTCCTCGTTCAACACCATGTGGCTCCACGGTAATTCCATGGTCAGCGTGTTCATCGAGAACTTCTATCCAGACCGGGTTGCCAGCACCAGTATCACTCGGAGAATTTTGATCCATGTTGTACGGTCAGGTCATATATTTGGGTATATCAAAATTAAGTCATCGGCACTGCTGTGGGTCGATTAAGACTGTTGAAGCACTAAGGTAAGTAAATATGTGTGAGATTCGGCGCTGTCTCAGAGATGAAGCAACCATTCTTGGTGGAGGCGAAGAAATGTGGTGGGGTTTTTCTTTAGTTGCCGGAAACAACCAAGCAAGAACCGGGATCAAGTTGCAGTCGAGAATAGTAGCGTTCTCACACTCCGATGTGCATCACAGTAGCAGGTTGGTTAGCAGCTCGCCAAAATAACAGCGCCGGGCTGCACCACCGAGATGTTGACCTGTCGTCGAGAGAAAGCTGATGAGGCTGCCAGTGATTTCTGGCTTTACGTCAAACACTTTTTTCGTTCTTGGAAAAGTACGAAAGTTTACATTAATCACGTGCTCACTTTATTTCCCCGGTATGATAACGCACGGTCTTTTTATTGATCAGTGCATTAACCGTTTGTCACATGACCTAGTTTTTCCCGTCACTACCTAATTTTCGGCGAAGTTTCAAGTTTCGACTTTCTTCCGAAGAAACGAGCTGAAGAATGAAACGAACAAGGCGTTGAAGGAGAAGGCAGCGACGGAGACACCAGAATCACGAACCAGCAAAAGGAGAAAACGTGGCAAAGACTGAGATTGTCACTCTAGGTACCGAGCCAGCATGGATCTTGTGTCCACGATTCGGAAGGAAGGCAGCAGGTAAGTTGCACAGCTCGCGAGGAGCCGGCCCGTGGGGTTCAAGTGACTGATCGATACATGGCTCATAGGGGCGGCCAAACGGAGTTCAAATGGTCAGATGTTAAGGACTCAAGCCGCCGGGAAAACTACCTTGGCCATTCCTTGATGGCCCCCGTTGGTCGGTGGCAACAAGGCCGTGACCTCTCGTGGTATACCAAAGGAGAAGACTCTGATGCAGCGAAGAAGGCTCGAGAGGAGGAAATCCGGAAGGTTAAAGAGGCAGAGCAAGAAGCTATAGCCCGAGCACTTGGTCTACCAGTATCAGTGCCGTCTAAAAGCTCGAACGCCAACCTGGAACCGCTGGGGGGGAAGGAGGTCGAGCGAGCAGTCTTGGAAGGAGCGGATGATCACGAAGATGTTGACCGCGTCAAGGGAGTCGGGTTTGGTGGCTTCACTGGCAAGACGCCAGCTGGAGAAGGGATTGAGAAGCTGGAGCCAATAGGAGATGTTTCTAGCAACTACAGTCAAACTGCAAAGACCAATGCTGACAACCGGCCCCGCAGTGACCGCCACTCGGAAAGAAGAAAGGAACACGGCAGAAGAGACGGTCGAGATCATGCAAGGCACTATAGAAGCCGGAGAGAAGATCACCGCTCAGATCGACATGAAAGAAAAAGATATCGTTCACGTTCTAGGTCCCGGTCCCGAGAGGCCGTTAGGAGGCAACGCTCAGTTTCACGTTCACGCAGCGGAGATCGGGAAACACGAGATCGTCGAGGCCATCGCAGACGGAGCCGATCACCCTATGACTCCCGACGTTATAGAGACGATAAACGATATGAACGTTACGACAGAAGACGATAATACAGCTCAAATATAATGACGGGTTTTGGCGTTTTGGTGGATAATCTCTTATTACTCATTGGCATAGCCTCTAGGGTTGGTCACGCTTCATTTTTATAGACAGATACTCCATAGTTGTCTCTAATATCTATAAATTTACAATTCGTCTTTAGCGCTGGATTGGGTATTTAAGTCGGGCATAGTCATCATTTTTACCACAAGGCTGGTCCAACCGGTGAAGTGCTGTGTTCGCTGGCCCTTGCCTGTATCGGGGTTGTACTGCTCCCAGGCAAAGCCAGTGTTCTTCCACTCCTTGTAAACATTCTCTACTATATTCTTGCGTAGCTTCGTATACATCTCAGATGCCTGTTCCTGGTGGGGACCTGCAACCTGAGCGACACTCTGTAGAGCACGCATTAGTTAGCTATGAAAATATGTGAACCATATGAAGACATACCAGAAGATTTTTGAGGACCAGATAATTCATATTGATCCAAATAGGGCCTTTCCAGTAGTTCTCGCCAGTTCCGAAGAATTCGTCCTTTTTGCTCAGACTTCGGATGCCGTAGTCACTCCATAGTTCGTCTGAATCCTGGATGAGATTTAAGATATCTCCTAGTCTCGGGTGGTTGGCGTCCAAAAGACCAGTTATGAAAGGGAAAATTGAGATATAGCCCTTATGGCATACATGAATACTGTCTTCGTAATCATCGATAGTGGAATCACAATATGTCTTTGCGTCCTTATTCCAATGGAGATCATCAATATTTCTAAGGATAGCAGTTTCATATTTGGTGAATTCCTCGACATCAGCTGTCTCACCTAATGCTCCGGCAATGTCTCGCAAAGATTGGGTCATCATGCCCATCCAGCTTATGAGATCAACGTGAAGCTCTCCAGGGTGAGGCGGCTGGGGTCTAGGGTAGTCATCCAGGCCAGATGTGAGGATGTGCTCGACCGTACGTCCTCGCCATCGATATCCTTCCTTCGTAGAGAAAGAATCTCTCTCATAAGATTTGAGGTCGCCCCATTGGGTCTTCCTAAACCAGAAATAATGGCGACGGAGTAGGGGATATATTGAACGAAGGAATGTTATGCCAAGCTCTTTATTGTCAGAATAAGCGGAGTTGTTAGAACTATCAGGGCCAGAAGATTTTCCTAGTGAAGCTTTGTTCATAAATTCTCTGAGAACAAGAAACAATGTTGGTGGGTTGGCATAGTGAGGGTATTGGATTTGGAACTCCCTTGGAACTTTGCTTCTAGCTTCAGGTCCTAGGATTTGTTCTCTGGCAATCCAGCCATCCTCGTCCATGAGACTCAGCCAACTCTTGACAATTTGAAGTCTGTTCCTTGTCAGTTCACTAGTTGATAGGCTGAGAAGGGCAGAGGAGCATACGTCAGGTCAAGATCCCACTCCATTATTGGCAGCAGGTGGAAGCCCTCGTCCCACAGGAACCCCCTGGGGAAGAAGGGCCGGGAAGGAACTGAAGTAAATAATTCAGATGGATCTGCGACTGTGAGTTGGGCGCGGGATCGAGCTTCGGCAGCCTCCTCCCAGAATCCTTCATTCTCTTCATCGTACTCAGGAGCATAACTGCGGTCAACAATTGAATCTCCGTAAAAGTAGCCGATTCCGCCTACTAAATTGGAGAGCATTTCCTTTGAAAACCGCAAGTACTCTGACTTGTTAAACGGAGCGAGCGGTTTGAAGATATTCTCAAACTTTTGGGAGAATGTTGCAGATACATCCTTAATCCGCTTAGTGATAGTGGATGCTGGGTATGGAAGTTAGAAATAGTAATGACCCAGAGGATTATTGCGCACATACAGGTCAGTGGTTTTTCGGCTGTCCCTGATGAGAAAATGATATCAAACTAACCGAAAGTCAATGATCAATGGTTTGATAGTTAAGATAACTAAACGGTTACATACCTCAAAAGATCCGCGGAAGACTTTCTGTATATAGTGAATGTTACCTCCGCCCTGAGTATTTGTAAGGGTGAGCAATGCCGGAGGAGGAGGTACATTCCCTTCTCCAAACTTCTCTACGGCAGCTTCAATATATTTTTTCATCTGCGTGAAGAGTATAGCTATAGCAGTATCGGAAATATTAGCAGCACTTCAAAGTTAGCTGGAATGAAAGGGTGGTATCATACTCTTTCCCTGCCAAAGTGCCTCTGGCGGGACGGTCATGCTTGAAACAATCGTTCTGTCCAACGGCTTGTCATCATAGCTTGGGTGCATCCGCTCAGGGTAAGTGTTGGTATCCGGACCACGGGTGATATCAATAGTAAAGTCACCCAGGCCTATTGCGTTTCCCCCAAGCCTGACATCTCCTGCATATCCAAGCTCATTGGGCTCATTGTGCAGTCCCAGCTTCCCCAGTCCTTCCAACCCAGCATAGAATATTAATGTTGTAGGCTGATTAGGAGGTGCATCGGGACGAGGTACTCCCTTAATGCGAGCACCCCAGCTACCGCCGTCTGTACCCCCCGGGATCTTTACGAAGTCTATCGTAAGATCAAGTGTATTGCGGGAATCGTGTATGGTCTGTCTGCCGCCGTTTCGGATGTCATATTCCTCCCAACCATAGCCCTCCATTCCTTCATTCTGCTCACAGGTATGCCTGAAATCTATAGCATTGAGTTAGCTTTTATCCAAATCATAAATCTCGTAGTAGAGGCCATCTGGGTCGAGCTGCAGCCCTGTTTACATACTCTCCTGAGCTGTCTGGTAATTGTCGACCTTTGCCCAGAGCAACCCCATAAGCAAGCTCTTTGGAATCCGCGGGCGCACTCCAAAATACAAATTAGGACGATAGGGACCCCATAGTAACGTCTGGTTCAATGCCGTATCCACGGCCAGGGCAGCGGCAGCTGTATCATCCGCTGCAACGGGGCCCAGCACGAAGAGAATACAAACCCACAGAAAAGATATAGCAGCCATGTTGACCGCTCGCCCTGACCTCGTCATTAGCCAGCAGGTCATAAGCCGTTCAAGCTTAGGTATCAATGGGTCCGGCCCTGCCTTTCATCTACTTAAGAGTTATCGATGTCTTGACGTGTCCCCATTTGCAGCCAAACACAACCGTCGGAGATACGATGGTCCGCTTTAATAGTTATCGTGGGCCGGACGGGACCCTCAAATGTAGGTAAAATAGACCTTGGATAGTTGTTTATTCAGAATATCCAATTGACATATCTCATGATACGGGGGCCTAAGGATAGAGTCGCTTGTCGCGCATATAGCATTTGATATAGATCGTGAACATATAAGGAAGCCGCCTATAACGTTAGCCCTTGAGATCAAGGACATATGGAACTAACTATAGGAAATCATAAGTTATTGTGACGTCATTCATCTCTACAAATATCAAACTGATAACTAGCCAAATGATTGGCCTCTAGAGAAACCTCCCGAACAGTAGAAAGGATTCTTCTATATCACCTTGCGAGGATCCAGAGAAGAAATATTCAAACTCTTAGCATCGCCGTCGAAAACAAACTCGCTCATAAGCTTGCCTGTTGCCGGTGCGTTCTGGATGCCCCAGCAGGTATGGCCGGTTGCTAGATACAAGCCTTCTGTCCTAGTCTTACCGATAAGGGGGCTTCCTCGATCGCCGGTGCCAGCTACATTAGGAAGATAGCAGGCCTGCCGGACCAGTACCTCTCCATCCCGTAACTGGTCAGACACACTTCCAATTGCGTTGATAATGTCTTCGCATCTGGACTGATCAACCTCGACGTCAGCTGTAGATGACGGTAAAGGTACCAAAGTATCTCCTTCTCCACAGGCGTATACCGTGTTGTCAGGCCGAGCGTAGATTTCAGGGCTGGTTGCAGATAATCTGCCTGACTTGGACTGTCCCACTGGAAGAGTGATCTCGGTAAATAGAGTGTATGCGGAGACAGGGCGTGTTGGACGTAGGACAACACTATGTGCTCGAAGGGCTTCGATTGGGGCTGGTGGGAATATCCTTGATGTCCAGGGGCCTGCTGAAATGATAACGTCTGTAGCAGTAATAGTCTCCATAGCACCAGTGGCCTTGCTTTGGTATTTTAAAGACTTAACAGGGCCTTCTGAGTAGTCAATATCAGTAACCGTGCCCAGGACAACTTTTGCGCCTTTCTCTTCTGCCAGTTTTGCCATTGAAGTCGTAAAAAGATACGGATGCACCTGTGCGGTAGTTCCCTTGCCTCCCATCTCCTCGTACGCCCTTAGCACTGCAGGATCGAACCAGTCAAGGTCTTCTGGAAACCCTGCAGCTTTCAACGTTGCCATGTCATCATCACTTCTCTTTCCCAGAGAGACCGCCGCTTTGCCAGACTTCGACTTGTCAGCCTGGTTTCTGGCCCGACCATCTGCGATAAGCTGTCCACATCCAACTTCCCTATATCCCCATCTGTCTACTCCGCCATGTTCTTTTGCTAGTTGGGCATGTAGCTGGTAGCTCAAAGGGACAATTACTTTGGGATATGCCCACAGTGCTAGCAGCCCACCAGCCTTGCCAGACGCTCCGCCGGCAATCTCCGAGGCCTCGAGAATTGTTATTCTGTGTTTTGATGGATCGTACGAAGGATGCCTTGTAAGGAAATAGGCGCAGCAGCATCCAATTATCCCGCCGCCTGGTAAATTAGATGTTAGACTTGTGTCTGATTATCAGGCCAGGAGGGGGTGAAGCCTACCGATAATGACAATGTCCCGCTCCCTGCGAATATCAGTCATTCTGGCAGGTGACTCTAAGGTGTTCTCGAGATAGTACTGCCTATACCAAGAATTAAACTGTATCAACGTCCTGTCCGCAGTTGCATTTGCTCCTGTCAAGGTTAGATGTCTCCTCCGTCCGTAGTCAAAAAAAGTTGTGCCTTTTCCCTATGACGTCGTAAAAATATTTCTTCGATCCCCGCGAAAAGGGAGAATCCACAATCGCAGTCCCGTATATCGAACTGCTTCGAAAACAGCAAGGACAACGGATAAAATAAAATCGGGTATATTTCTCAGATGCTGCAGCGTCTCTAATTATACAAATGGTGGTCATATCCCAGAAGTGAAGGCAAGAAAAGGCCATAAATTAGCAACAAACAAGCTCAGAACTCTCACCGGTCGCCCAGGTGTAGATAGTGTATGAAAACAGTAAGAAGAAAAGGAATAACGCTCAGAATGCTGTTTAAAAAAAAGGTGGATAGATATAAGAAAGGAGAAAACAGTGCTATTATCGAGTTGGACTCAGCGGCTTGTTGAATCCTCCCACACGGTTCATGTACTGTCTGTACTGTGTCTTCTTCTCTTTTCGAACACCGGAGACGTTGTTCCCAGGGACTTCAGTGTTCTGCGTGCTCTTGAAGGATGAGAACCCCATGGCCTTCATCATCACTTGGTCTAGGTCGTCAGGATCGTCAGGTATGTCTACCTCCATTTCGTTTTGCCGGCCGGACTTGGTGGACGGTCGTGCATATCCAGACAGGCCATTGGGTTCGATGCTGTCTCCTCGACGTCGGCTGTGTTTTGCATCTCCCCGATCAGGCCCGCCCCTACGGGTAGGTGATCGTGAGCGGGCCCTGCGGCCATTTCGTGCAGGAGATCGTGACCTCGACGGCGACCTGCTGATAGATCTCTCGCGGTGTCTCTTAGATCTAGAAGTATATTCTATATATACAACATCATATCAGCACTCTATCGTTATACCTCGCATGAATTAGTGAGCGTATGTAGAATGTCGATATACACATACCACGACGAGAGCTGTATCTGTCCCTGCTCAAGCTCCGCTCTCTGCCTTTGCCGCCTCTACCATCTCTGTCAAGATCTCTCCGGGTATCTCGTGGGTAATCTCGTGCTCGTCTGTCCCTTGACCAGCTTCTGTCTCGTCGTCTCTCCCCTCTGTCCCGAGATCGCGATCGAGATCGCATCCGTCGCTCCCCTTTGGGACCATTCCTGGAGACCTCCTCACCGCCTGCTGCCATTTTTTTCGGGGTAGAACTAGGCTCTTTAGATTCACCATCGGACCGCGTGGTATTATCATTCATATCCCACATTGCTGAGCTGTCTGTCCTTCTGGCGCGTTTGGCTGGTGGTTCGACCATAGTGTCAAGCATGAGGTGAAAATCCACAATCACAGCGGCAGTTATCTCAGTGAAAAATAAGGGACAAAGTTATAGCGAATGACTGCTGATATCGCCTGAATCTCGTCTCTGCTGCTGCTTAACACGGGTTCAAATGTTTTGTTTGCTTCCTCGTTGCATGCTTGCAAGATTGAAAATGAACGAAAAACTTCTATGGTGGGCGAAAAAGGCCAAAAGTGCTTCAATGATTTTCTTTTTGTGATTTTGCGGGCAGAGAAAGATTTGATAGACAGAAGGCACAACAACTTTGCTAGGTAGAACTACAGCAATATACAGAGGAGTAAGGGCTTGCTGAAATGGCTCCTAATGATGTGTCTCACCGTCGAACCCATAACTTACTGCTGATATCGAAGCTGCTCAACCTCCGGGAGGGTGCTGCGCCGTTAACTCTTGTGCAAGACTCGCTGGAGCAGCCAGCCGCTCCGCTCTTAAAGGAATACATTCGACGAACCAAAGTATTTATGCCTGAGCCTCCCCTATAGCTATGATCTAGAGTAGTGCGTCTGACGGCTTTTCCACTAGCTATCTAAAGGACATGTAACCTTCGTCTCCTTCGATACATTGACCCGCCCGGCTGGAGCTGATACATTCATAAACGCCGCTGGAAAGCCATACGAGCTGATCGCAGAAGAGGTCACATCGTCTTATACTGCCTCACAGCCTACAGGAAACCAGAATATCACTCCCAAAAGTAAGTATTCGGAGAAGACTTTGTTTGTTCAATCTGCTAAAGCACAGACCTTAGGATATCTCGTTATAGTTGATTCAGTACATCCATTGCTTTCTCCAAGAGCTGGCGCAAAGACCGTTTATTTACCCGAATACCTCAGCTCACTGTTGGGGCCTGCTTCACCCCATGTGCAAGTCTCTCTTGTTTTGGTTTACCACCGTCATATACCATCTTCACCCAGCTCGAATCCGTACACCCCTTCACCACTCTCCCTGTTGACATACCTAGCGACGACAATAATCACCACCCATTCAATGTCTCAGATGATGGCTCGAAAGGCGGCTATAGATAGAAGCCTGGCACCTCCAGTATTTGGTCTGGAGGAAGAAGTCGACGGTGTTTTGATTGGAAGAGTTAACCAACACTTGAAGGGCGAGAAACAAGATGGAATTGTCCTAGAAATGGAACATAGGCGGAAGAGCGGGCGTGGCATAGTCGAGTGGTATTTTCTGCCACATGCATCTAAATACTCTGCCAAACAAGCTACGGAGGTGGTCATTTTGCTTGATGACCATCCGCTGTATAAACGGAAGGACACTGAAGTGAATGAGGAATCATGGGAGCCCGAATCAACCTTCGAACTTGGCCTAACCGAAAGACAGCGGAGAGAGAGAGATAATGTGGTGCTGCCTTATTTCGATGCCCAGAAGGGTGACGGCCCCGGAGAGGGTGGGCGTATCCTCTATGACATGGGCGAGGAAGACGACTTCGATGAAGAAGAGGATGAAATCTAAGCAGAATCAGCAATTGCCGGCAAGAGAAAAGCGAAAACCCTCGGATATTCCATGATCCATTGATAACAGGACATGCGAGGGCTTACACAAAAGGCTACAACATTGTGAGCAATAGCATCGTCGTCTGGAAGGCATTTTGGTGTGTATGATTATGGACATTAATACTGCACTAGAAGAACCGCCACCAGATGAGAAGGATAAAGATGAAGCCAACTCCCGCAAAAGGACCGTACTATCGAGCTGTGTTAGTATCCAGCCTCTACAGCGCGGGCGAACGAACCGATAGGCAGGCCATACCTGTTTAATCAACAATTCCCAATTTATCCGAACAGCAGCCTTTCGGTATTTCTTACTGTCCTC